TAAGCTCCGTGTAAATCCTGATCCGGATCGTCCCAAAGGAACGCACCTTACGTTTTTACTGAAGCAAATAAATTAGCGTGCCAACGCTTGGCTACTTCAAAAGACGTTTTGTGACGCAAGAACGTCCCGGGAATATCTCGTTTAAGACAAAGTATCGATTTGCTAATGTATACCTTGTTAAATTACCTTTGTATCATGGAAACAATACGGACCATAAAGAAATTTATGGACGTGGGGAATGTTCGAGTCGCATGAATTTTTTCTTTCTTTTTCGTTAACATATCCTTGTATGGATTTTTTCAGGCTAGTGATTAATATTTTTTTTACGCTTACTTAGCGTGCATGAATTTTTTTCGTTTAATTTTCCTTTGCACGAATGTATTGTGTTTTTTCTTTTCCACCGCACGAATGTATATTTTTTGTACCTCCCCTCCCCCGTAAGTTTCTAATAGTCCGCCCCTAAGCTAACACGTCGCGTAGAGGGTCAAAGAACGCTCATTTTAGGTGTATTTTAAGCATCTATGCTAAAAAAGAAATACGAACTCTCCGGTACTCTAAAGATTAGAGACCTTAAAATACGCCTTTTCCGTGTACGGGTACGGGTAAATTATAGCGGTACACGTAGCCGTAAATACGGGTATATTGCCTCTGACCCGAGAGAAACGGGTAGGCTCCCGGCTAGAATGGTTACGCCATCATCAAATCTGGAGATACAGCTCAGTTGCCTTTTATAAAACTACGAGGTAAACATGTTGGCTTACTCGTACCCGTAGGCCGACACGGCGTATCTTAAGGTCACTATTGTTATGACAGTCTACATGTAATCACCCACTTTTCCATGTTTATTTGCCGGCTCAGTCCTCTTTGCCCTACGTTCTAACCCTTTAACTCTCTAATTAATAATACATGTAGAGTCTTGTAGGGTGGTTCTAACTTTTGAGACTGTGGAAGAAATTTTATGGTGTGACCAGTGAAACCTCTTCTCTAGTACTTACACATGGTACGATTTATATTTTAGGAAAATGAAGGTTGGAATTTTTGTTTAATTTTGACAGTGCCGTTTCTTTCAGTGAAAGAGTTCATTATGAAAGCGAGGTCAGAGGTTCTTTTAGCTAAAAAGGAACAACACCAGCGAAACAAAAGTGAAACACGCACACAAGCCAACAAAATGGAACTCTGTAAAACAACCGATATCGAAAACACTGCGCAGTAAACGTTTAGAAGAAAGACTCCATGATTTTTATTTTGGAGAAAAGGGCATAAAAGGCTTCGTTAGAATAAAATGAATTCTCGGCCACAAATTAACTCATACTTTATATCTTTAAATACATCCCTCATTATTAATTTCCCTTGTAAAAGTTGCGGCATTGTTGCGAGGCAAATTCCGCCTTTGGTTTACTCGACGTCTGCCTTAGCTCCAGTTTTTCTATGTATTTTATTTTTACATTCATTACTCTTATTTTTTAAGTTTTGTCTTATTTTGAGTTCCTAGCTCTGTCACACCCCAACAAAGGTCTTGGCCATTATACAATAGCTGTTTAAAATCTTGTGTTAGTTGCTGACACGATAAGAAGATTTGTAAGACGATTTTCCTAATAAGCGCAATGCAGTGCAGTGTATATCTGTAGTCACGCACATCTCTCAAGGCATAAAAATGCCTTAATCTCCTAACAATAAAACTTTAGTAAACGTTGTAAGTACCATTACTTCAAGAGAGATCTTAATAGATAATGGAGCGTCCAGTTCCCATCATCATGTAGAAGTCCGCATAACTCATTAGATATTTCGTTGTATTTTTACTGTATTTTATAAGATGGAAGTATACCGTATGAATTCGTGCTGGCATGTTGAAAGCTCCCAAAGGATTAAAACTTCAAGCAGGCAAAATAAACAGTGATTCGATTTCAGTTATTTAATAAAAACAATGTAAATACTGTCTTCATAATTTGCCAACTTGGCAAAAGCACATTTGGTCACCCTTTTAAAAGATGAATTTCGGAGTGACTATGTGGTAAGGCGTAAGGCGCTGGCTGCCTTTTTACTTGGCGAACAATTGCTATGCGAAAAGTTCCTGAGCGCTAGTTCTGAAAAGAAAACCTCTTTTACAATCAAGGAAATCACAAATTATGGCAATCTTTTTTGCCGAACCTTCGGAACCACAAGTTAAATCAGTTCCGGGAAAAGGAAATTGAGTTCGTTATCTTTTGTCGCGGTGTACTTCGACTTTAATACCCAATAATCGTTAATTACAGTGTTTTTTTCTTCTTTGTATCCTTTTTTTTTGGATTTCCTTCTAGATTTAACCTTTCGGTTGCCTTTTTAGTTAATTTTACCTTTGCCACGTATTTTCTATCCATAATCGCTTTGTGGTGCAATTAGATCATCACGGCAACTTTGTCAGGGTCTTGCCTGCATGAAAGGACGCTGGCTAACGTTGCATTTATTAAAATAGTTTGTCTTTAATAAATATAAATAAATCTGAAGAGGCTTTTTGCTAATGATAGGTCAGTTTTATGGGTTATTTGCCAAAGTTAACGCGATTTGTTGTAGATATGGGAGTGACAAATGCAGAAAAAAGAACCAAGCACCGCTTCCGCTTTTTTTAGTTTTTTCGTACAGCGAAAGACGACAAAATAAACCGAGGCGTAATTCTACTGAACAGCTTTTTGTAGGAAAAATAAACAAAACAGCAAATCAAAAGGGATTATGGTGGAGCTTTATAGCAAGGCACGCAAAGTTTCGCCAAAGGGCGGGATATTTTCAACAAAGTAACACTGGCGTTGCACAAGCCAGACTCCTTGAATATAATTTCTCCCCTCGTTTAGGCCTCATTTGGGTCATTTGCTAGTTTAACACTTTGTACCACAATGGGAGTTGCACATGCAGAAATTACAATCTTGGTGCCACCTTCAATCGCAGGTTGTTGAAACATTTTGTAGAGGGAAAGGCGAAAAATATATAAACCTTTCTACAGCTTTTTGTAAGGAGGGTAACAAAACAATAAATCAAATTTTGTTGGGAGTTTTATAGCCAGGTAAGAAAAGTTTCGTCCAAGGGTATGAACAAAGTGACACTGGGCTACACATAAAAGCAGGCACCTTCAATTTTTCTAGCTCAAACGTCATTTATGTCTAAAGATGCATTTTATAGCATCTGAACATTAAGTATCATCTTTGAAGAGCAACTGATATTGATGACCTAATGGCAACGCGTTCTTGAAATGTTCTTCCTTGATGCGAACAGCTTGAATAACGTGCAAGACCAGTGGGTCAGGAATGTAAAATGTCCGGAAATTCTCAGACATGTAATAGAAATTATCGACGTTGCCCCAAACCAGGAATCTACTTAGTAGACGGATTGGAAAACCTTTTTGCCGATGTTAATGTTCTATCCACCTGTTAGAGGTTATTACCCTCATCCGATGATAATGGCCCGATGATATTTTTCCCTGCAACGTGTTACAGAAAGTCACTTTTGAGACGTTTCGATTATTTTGTCATCAAAAATGCGCCTGCAAACATGGACTGGCCTTTTGTTAGCAAAAGAGTGAAAAATAAGACGTCACATTCCTATGTCTTGTGTGCTTTCTTGGCTAGTCGGCAAGAGAACAAAGGGGGGCCCATTGTTCGTAAGAGGAAAGTGTAGCCTTGCCGGATTGTCATTCCTATTCATTGCTAATAATATTACTTTAACAACTGTTTACACTGTGACCAAATTAGATGACAGTTTTAACCAATCTTTCACTAGGCGTTATTGTCGGATTTTAATTATTGTAATTGATGATGATGTTGTCTTCATAAAGCGAGCTTGTGACACCAGCGATTAGAAAAGGTTCGACAGGCAATCAAGAGTTAGTCAAAGCAACGAAAAACGCTCTCCCAGGAAGAGATGGCTGAGTGTGTGGCGGGAGTAACTCTCAAAATTTTTCTCCTTCTTTTCACTGGCTTGCTTGGTAATTGCTTTGCTAAACTAAACGTGTTCCTTGATGCTCGGGAGGTGTCGCGTTTTCTTTACGGTAAGTAATACTTATGAGTAAACACAACTACATGTCTCAGTTTAGTATGGCATTCGTGCACTCGTTTTTGAGCCAGGCTTCCGACGCTGGACTTCGTTGAGATTGTCACTTGAAAACCAAGAACAGTATCAATAATGAAAAGTGATGTACATACATATAACACGAGAAAGAAGTATGAAAATCAAATTACAGTTTTTTTCGCTGTTTGCTGCCAATTTTCTGTATATTTTTCTTAGCCAACTCTGACAAACTCGAGTCTGGAAACCTCGTTGATTATATAACCAGGTGCCCGCGTTCCTATAATCAGTTGGATAACCCTACTATCATTAATGACATTGAGATCAATCTACTGTTTTCATCAGCTTTTCAGAGCAACATGAGGTCTTTTATCGCCTTTGGATGGCTATGGGTTATTATCGTGCCAGGATACAGCTTATAGCCATCAGAGACATCCGGAGTCACGATAGTCAATACAGTGACGGGATAGTAGTTTATTTGGATGCTAGTACAGTTTTATAAGTATCCAGTTTTCAAAACTATAACTTGCGGTATCTTATTGTCTAAAAACGTATGCAAATAAACAATCGGTCAGTTTTAATTCTCATGTTCTCGATTCCAAAGGAACATTTCCCTAAATGGGAGACACTGCTTCATGACTCTCCCAGTACGCAAGTTCTCCTGGTGGTTATTTGACTTAAAGGAAATTAATTTCGCATATTTTCGTAAAGCTAACTGAGAGGGCCAAATAGTTCACCATTAATAATAATTTCATTTTAAAGTCAACTCGATTATGGAACCGCAAATCTCTCTTCCTTCTGGACTAGCTCCACCAAAAATAACATGGACCGCACAGAAAGATTATTTTTACCTTGGAAGTCATTTTTTATTCCTCACTTGGTCTTGCACTTAAAAAGAGAAATAACAATGTTGTAAACGAGATGCACCAAAATAATACCTGTCAGTGAGACTCGTATACTTTGCTTGAAGCGGATGCTGCGCAAAGATTCACAGAACATGGACAAAGCGGCTTTATACCCTGGGAACCGTTTCTCGAAAGTTTCGATAATTAACGGGCCAGAAAAGCTATTGTGGCTTACGTTAAAGATCGAGGTTTCAATAGTTTTGTAAATGATAAGATAAAGCTATCACTAAAGAAAACAAATGGACTGTTTTCGCTGCTAAGAACTGCTATTTTGTATTTTTAGATCTTGATCTGAATATTAGACATTTTTGGGCCCGTAACGTTATCGGGACTTTCGAGAAAAGGGCCCCTGATAACAGTCGGGAAATAAGTTTTGCATGAATTGTGTATCCTAACGAACAAACTACTGAAAGTCCAACCGTTTCATTCACCATGATGCGTTCACTTTTGACAGATTTGAACACAAACCTTTTCCTCGTCCAAAACGGAAAGGTCGCACCCATACTGAAGACGCCGATTTTGTCAAGTATGATACCTCCGATTGAGCCATATATTAAGGACCTCAAGTTTAGATTCAACGCAACTGGATCGGTAAGAATGAGCTTTCATGTGGCATACCAGGGGTAAGGAGTAATCTTTACGGCTTGGAATCGGACGGACGGGAAAAAGCTGTCTCCACCTTGATTTCGCCCGCTTGTCTCTAACCGATCACTCTTCACTGTTAGGCCTTAAGCCTCCTGATAGCTGGAACTATTTCTGAATTTAGGCTAAGGGCTGATGGAAAACAACATTTAATACTCATAAATAATGAGCAATTTCCGCTTGTTGCTCCGCTTTCCATAATTTCTCTGACTTTGAATGAAGCTGCCAGTTGCTTTCCACAAACTCACTGGCTCAGCTGAAAAAAATCAAAATCAATCAGTACTACTTATTTGGCCAACGGATGGTTTTCTTTTTTTAATTACTTAGGACGACTATTGCTTTAAAGTGCAAGGGTAAGCCGCGCTAAAAACAAAACAAATTTTTGGGCGATAATTCTCACAAGAGACCGTGCCTTTGTTTTGGTGGGTTTAACCCTTTAGTTTCATAATGTTTGCTTTTGTAGCGGTCAACCATAATGTGAGTGACGTTGTAATTACCATGAACATAGCTACTAGCTATCTGTTCCTTCAAAATATTGTGGAAAAATGTTACCTCTCTATGAAAACGTAATGAAAAGCTTCCTTCATAACATGCTTAACTGAATTTAAAACCGCATTGCTAAGCCTACCTGTGAAGCTAAAGGATAAACAAACACCGACTGAAACATTGTTTCCTTTTTTGTCTGTGCTGCTGCCTTAGTTTCTTTAGTTGTAAAATTAACTTTAAACTGAATACGTTTGTGTTTCTGCTGAGTGTCTAATAATATGTTTAAGTTAGGTCACTGAAATGTAGTGAGCAGTGGAAGCCAGGTCAGCCTGACAACTTTGCTGGTATATTTTGAGCTTTATTAAGAATATTGACGAATGGTCGTAAAGATATTTAAAAAGACTTGGTTCCATAACGGAAACAACCCTATATACTAGTCAAATTATGTACTTAAATTTTAAATTATTTTCTTAAATGAAATTACATTAAAAATGGTATTAATTATATTGAAATTTACGACAAGAGAACTGACGAACTGGGACGCGAGTGATTCAAAATTGTATTAGACACTAAAGTAAACATCTTAGGCCCAGAGGGTGGAGACCTCAAACAAAGAAGAGTTGTAAAATTGTCTGGAAACTGTGCGTTTTTTAATCATAATATCAGCCTGGGGCTTCATTGTTTACTTTGGTTGCAACGGTTGGACCCCATTCGACCAATAGTGGAAAGAAATTACCCGAAAATTAATAACAATACAGTGTAGTATTAAATAGATAAAACAAATAGATTCTGTTATGAGTGACACCCCTTTTTTTGTTGGGCTGAAAATCTGGATCAAAATAGGTTTCTGGGAAACTGCCCACCTACCCCTCCCCTAAGCTACCATTTTGCCCTTAAATAAGAAGTAAGTGTTAATGTTAGCTTGAGGGAGGGGTAGGTGGGCAATTTACCAGAAACCTAAATTAATCCGAAAATTTTGGTTATAAAAGTTAATAGTTAAGGTATCTCTCATTCGTGATTCATTTTTCAGGTACGGTATTCTCTGAGTTTCAAGTCGAGTAATGAAACCGTCATGAGACATCCTACGACCAACATTAGGCTGAATGGACTGGTACCTAAAAGAACCAAAGGTAAGGCAAGGCCGGCAACCAAGAAAAGCAAAAGCCCTGGGAACGAGGTTGAACACAGAGACGCACTTGGTTTCGAAGCCATCTACAGTTGTAACCTCCAGTCTAATAGCTGCTGGAGTAGGCCATTTCCGCGTTCTAAAAACTCTAACTTTTAAAACGACGCTAATTGCAGAACTTTTCTTGTGAAAATGAGTTTTATTTGAATGAAAGTAAAACTCATTTTCATATCAATGGCTCTGCACTTAGCCTCGCTTTGAAACAGAAAGCGTGATGTCAAATGCATGCCTAACTGAATAGTCCAGTTTCGAGTACGCTATGACTACTGAATAAAAGAAGTAAAGACCCATTTTTGCAGGCTTAGCCTCCATCTGAAGTAAATATATTCACAAATTCCAACGAGAAAAAGACCTGTTTATAACTCCGTCTTTTGTGTATTTTAACTGAATTTCAAACACGTGCCGAAATTTGTAATTATTTCATGTTTTGTCGCGGCTAACCCTGCATGAATGTGTCGTTAATGATTGTATTCAAGGGACTTGCAAAATGTGTTCGTTACACCGGGGTTTCGTTATCTCGAGTTCCTTTTTCATATATTTTGCTTTTACTGGGGTAAAGAAAATCGTTCGTTATACCGAGGACGTAGTAGCCTGCGTGGCAGGCGTTTGAAAGGGAAGGTAAAGGAAGTTTTGGGAAAGGGAGTTTTAGGCGCGAGAGAAACGCGGACGTACAGGTTCGTTTTATCGAGGTTCCACTGTATTTTGCGCTTACGGTTCCATTTTATTCTCAATTGTGTCCGTTTTTTTTCAGTTTATTGTGGCGATGGAAAAGTGTTTTTGCATAGGACAGAACACTAGACCTAAGGTGAAACTTGGGCAAGGATAGGTAGACCCACCTTGCTGTGAAAATCATTAAAAAATGTTATCGAAATTTACGTAAGGAATGCAATGATATCGAACATCTTGTCCCCTGATTAAATTTATTCCATATGATTTAATAATTTACCCCCGCACTATTAACTGAAATTGCACTTTAATGATCCTTCTGGAAGAAAACGTGCTCCGCGGGATAATGAACTCTTATCTTTCTTGAAGACTACCAAAGACGTTTACATCAGACAAATCGCATTCTTTCGAACATTTGATTGTCATTAAATTTAGTCAGAGAGCCCAGATTTCTTAAATGATGTTTTTACCACGTGGAGTCTTTAGTTTTGACTTGCTAACTTTAGAAGCTGGTGAATGGGAAATGCTCGGGTTACATGTAAGATGCTAAGATGCGTTTGGAGAGATGTATGTAAAGTCATGACTGAAAATTGTGAAAAGAAAATTGTGGAATCATGAAAGTATCGCTGCGACATTTGAATGGGCCATTTTGCAGTTGTGGGCTTAGTATCCGAGCCTTTGAGCGTAAACGTGAGGACAAGGTTGACCTTGTTGTTTCTTTTCTCGTGGAGATTATACTTGAAAATTCATATAATTGCGAGTTAGCATAAGAACAAGTTAAATGATTGACATAATAAAACAGGGAGGGTAGCCTTGTTTCCACTTGTAACTGTAAAATGGACTATTCCTCAAAACATCACTTTGGTATTGACAAAACCCTTGTTTGTACTTAAAGGAGCCGTGTCACGAATTGTCAAAATTCTAACAGTAGGACCTGCCACCAAATTGAGTGAAACATAAAAATAACTAAACAAAACATTAAAAGGAGGTATTAATAACACAGCAACTACACAAGGCGGTACGGTAGCCTGCGAGCAAGTTCTCCAAGGCGCTCTAGCGGCTGGGCGGGAAAAGGAAGGAGAGCTTGCAACTCCGTCTCTGGCATTTCAATTCCACCTCCAATTTCCCTGTGGCTCCCGGTCGACTGGGCCGTCAGATTTCCGCCAATCAGCGCGAAGCAGAAACGAGCGCGAATGTAAACAAACATTGAAAAACACGTCCCAACGACGTACTGTCAAACCTGCCAACAGAGCACTTGACTCCCGCCAAATGCGGCCCTGTCGAATTTCCCAGGGCGGCGCCATATATGGCATGGGTTTTTGATTGGTTCCCGTCCTTGCTCCATTATGACTGAGTTTTTTGTTTCCTTTGGGTACTCCGGTTTTCCTTTCTCTCCCAAAACCAACATTTCTAAATTCCACCTCAATCTGAAATGGCAGAGCCACCGTGGGGTATTTTAATTATCATTTGCTTATTTATTCATTTATTATTTATAACAACTACTGCACGATTTACGTACAAAATAATGTAAACTGATTATATTTCTGTTTTTGTTTCGTCCAGGCTTTCGTGTGAAGTTTCCTTGCACGGGCCGGGTTACTGGGCAAACTCTGCTAACGATCAATATCAGTTTCACTGAAGTGAACGGTGACCAGATATGGGGACCACTCAGTCTCGCTCTCAGGCGATACTGCGTCTCTGGTTAGTACACAAAGCATGGTAACTGGTAACTAATAGTAGGCTAGGAAAAAATCTAATCGAGAGAACACTCTCTTTAGTACATCTTAGATGCTGTCGTCTATCACTTCAAACGCATCGTTCGATTGTCTTAGTTGGTAATTTTTCCTCCTTCCGCTTAACCAGTCAAGGTGAAGCATGGCATGTGCCCTCAGAGCGGCATGTGCCCTCAGAGCGTCAGGGATTTGTTCTCAGAGAATAGCACTGGCTACAACTTCAGAGGGGCTGATTTTCACATACCCAGATTTCATTCGGTAACCTATGGGAAACACTCATTGAGATGTCTAGCACCTAAATTATGGAATAGCCTGCAGAACAATGTAAGAAATCTACCATCGCTGCAATCATTTAAACGTCAGACCCGTCTTGTCAATCTTTCGCTGAAGTTAAAGTCTGATTGTGAGAACTGCGTATTATGTAGCAACTGACACACAAGCTGACTTAATTTCTTTATTTTATTGAACATTCTATTTAATGTGAATGTCATCTTATTGTAAATAATCATATCATTTTATTGTAATTTACAGTATAATTTTATAGTATATAATGTCCATCTAGGCTAGTTTTATAGTTAATAATGTTGATCTAGGCTAGTTTCTTTCGGATTGTTTATTGTTATTTTAGAATTAGTTTTATTTTAATGTCTCCAATTAGTAGAGGGTTTTTATCCCCGGTTAAATACTATATTGACACTTGAATAAAGTCATGATGATAATGATGATGATGATTCATCCGGTTTCCTCCGTTTTTTAAAATCCTCCTGACTTTGGCCCCAAACGCTTTTGCGTTTTTACTCCGTTCTCCCTCTTGTGTGTGTGTTTTACGCCCTTAGCCTAAGCAGACAAAACTTAACACCTGGCCATTACGTCCTAATCCCACGCTCTTTCTCTCTTTCAGACAATGAAGCTTGGATCGACAATACTCGCTTCAATTCATCAGAATCTGAAGACACTTCTCCACTTCCTCCCCCTCAAGTCTGTAATAAAAAGTGCCACAAGAGACATATGATGAGGCGGTTCTGTTTAAGTGATTTTGGTTGGTAACGCCATTTCTCGAACGCTTTAATCAATAATAAATATTATAGTAGGAAAGATTAAGGAACCATGTACTGCCACATATCTCCCCGTGTAAGGGAAACCAAGACAGTCTTGGATTCTGGATTTCGGATTCCGGATTCTTTTTCTGTGGAACTTAGATTCCAGATTTCAATCACTAGTGGGATTCTGGATTCTGGGAGCAGTTTCCGGATTCCAAAGCCCAGGATTCCGGATTCCACAAGAAAAATCAGCCGGATTCCGAAAAACATGTGGCGAGACATGTTAGCATGAGTATTAGGTTAACACGCTGGGGGAAAAGGGAAAGAGAGACGCGAACAGGGGAGACAGCGCAGGGAGAGAAACGTCCTCTCCCCTACAAAATCTCCTCTCCCCTAACCTCTTACGAGGGCCTGATACTCGGGCTAGTGACATGTTAGGATATCTTACAATTTTTTGCATCTCTTGTCTTTATTTATCCATTGAATGATTGATTGATTGATAGCGGAGCACCATGGGTAAGAAAATTTGGTTATCCATGCATCCGAGAAATTTTGGTAGTCACGTGACCGTCCGTCTGCACCACAGAGTAACCAACGTAAAATGATCTTTTTCAGTTTTTGTAGCACCCTAATGATAGACGTCTTTGTTAAGGTCAATTAACAGCTGTCAGAAAAGGGTATCCACTGACCAGTATAACCGTACCGCGAGCTCAGGTTTTAACCTATCGAGGTCATGTGTTATTAAAGGTTTTCCGCTGATCAGTTATTAGCTTTTAATTGATCGCAGGCTCAAGTTCACTTTTTTCCAGCAGCAATTGTTTCTTGTCTATTGTGCCCGTCGTCCCGAATTCAATTCTTCGGCCATACTTGTAAATTTTCGATTGGTACTTTGCCTCCCATCAATTGTGATTTCCAACTCTCGTGGTTCGTTCCTACTTTTCTTCCCTCATTCAAATATTTCTCTATTCATTATCGTCCTTCCACGCCTTCATGTAACTGACAAATAAAATATTTTATTCAGAAAGTTCAATACCAAGATTACAGATCATGTCGTTATTCTTTTACATCAACAGTCATCAAGGCCCGGATGGAGAATGAAATTATGAGAAATGGCCTGCACGGTTTGCGAGTTCGAGTCTTGCGTACGTATAAAGAAGGAAAAGTTCAGGTAAACAGAAGACAGCTACTGGAGAAAAGGGGCCAAGAAATCACTTGCAGCTGTAGTAATCTGAAGCCAAACAAAGTGTATGTTATCCTTGGCAAAGAGGATAAGAGGAAAAGAGTTCTTTACATTGACAACTTTTCAACTGCTCTTGAGTGGTCAAAGAATGGGAAAGCCCACCTTCGAGCTTACAGGAAGAAATCCTCTTGCCCAGTGAGAAGGTCATAATCATTATTAACCCTTTAATTCCCAGTGGTGACCAAGATCAATTTTCTTCTAACAATATCCATACACTGTCAAGAGTTAAGTTAGGAGAATTAATAAAATGATCACCCAAGAGAAAATGCCTTGATCTCTTATCAAATTCTCTCAACTACTTCTTTAAATTTAAGGAAATGTATGGCGATCAGTTTGGAGAATTTGTATGTGGATACTGGGGCTTAAAGGGTTAACCAAATGAAAAGGAGGAAAAGGAAACAACTGAACAAACGAAGACGCAATTTTTACTTTTGTAAACACCTTTTCTTAGAGTTATCGATTTCATTTCTAGTTGAGTGCTGCATGTCCAAAGAGAAAAGAACATTTTTAACAGAGGTAACATACTTTTGTAGTGGTAAATGACTTACCTGAGGAAGTACTCTCTAAGAATATTATAATTGCTTTGCAGTAAAACCCAGCAATTTTAAAAACTCGATGATGAAGCTCCTTAGGTCGTTTAGCCGAAGTGGATAATTAATAATAAGCCATAGTAACTAATGTATATAATGTACATAATATTGTAACTAGGGTGGGTGCCATCTTAACTCTCTTGGGGGAAGGGGCTTGGTGCAGTGTCCCCCCTGGTTTCTCACTGTGTTATCATGCCGTTGAAGCCTACCTTACAACTAACGCAACGATGCGACTGCTGCACGTTTACGAGCCAGAGCCGAATTTTAAGGTCCTCTTGTTCACATGGCGCTACAACGGTGTTGACATGTAACCCTGTTTTTCCGAAAGAATGAATGCAAAAGGATATGAAGTTGAGTGTGATATAATATGATATTATACAAAATAACACCCCCCGAGATCTGCATGATTCTTTATATTATATGAATGCTGAATCCAATAATTGTTTTATTATTGATTAAAAGAAATTCAAATGTCTTGATCGATGTAGTAAGTTCCCGTCTTCATAACTTGGCAAATTCAAACGTCAAATGAATAAAGGGATTTATGCCTCCTTGCCCGCTTGTTTTTTATACCCTTATTATAAAGAGAACCTTTGGCTAAATTCTGGGGTCATCAGTTGAGCTATGTTTGTAAGAGCGCTTAAAGAAATAAGGAACATGGATGTGTTTAGGTATAATTTTGGCCACGCAAGATGGCCGATTTATTGATTAAATACAACATCTGCAAACATATTTAATTAGCTATGATTATTTGATTTTTTTACGCTCTGGCAAAGGTGAGGTCGGAGAAAAAAGGCGCCCAGCGTAAATAAACCTACTATTAAGAAAGAGGCGGAGGAGGGGAGGAGGAGGGTCAAATTCGCAAAGCTTGTTATGTCTGGAGACCAAGAGTAAGAGTTCGGGGAACCCAGCTTGTCTTATACCCTAACCTTAAATGAAGTCGAGGCTAAGTACTTTTCCGGACGAGCTCGTCACTAGCTGTAGTTTTACAGCAAGTAATATTCCGGCAAGTAATTTACCAGCTAGTGATTTCCCGGCTACTAATTTTACGATTGATCTCGTGAAAGTCGTGTGATCAATACTTGACTAATTTGTGTCAAATTGGACCCTGCTCACAGCTCTTCCCTGCCGATTACTTAAGTTAAAGGTGAATGCGTGACTAGAAAACATAAAACATGAATATAAATCGATTACAAGTATACTACCAAGAATATACACCTAATTGCAATAGCATTGTTACAGAAAAACGCAAAAAGAAAAAAAAGGAAAAGAAAAGAAGCTACATAAGAATTAATTAGACTTACTATAATAAGCCACGCTATAGAGTTCATCAACTTGCCACATTTGCATTTGTTTTTACGCTTAAAAACCCCTATGCTGCAAATGAATGCATCCTAGAGTCTAGTAGAAAGCCTAATTTTTGGCGGCGTTCTCCCTTTTTTTCTTTCCATTTGAGCATTTTTCAAAGATGATTATTGCAATGAGGTGTATACTTGTATATATAAAAAGAGTGTACTTTTTCAAACTTTTCTTTAAAAAAATAACACCTCGAAACAGCATTATTGATTGCAGCGTAGATGCTGTTTAAGAAAATCAATTTCACGCCTTTTGACCACTGTGTCAGAACAAAAGGCGCAAAACTGCACTCAGACGGTTCTTAAACGTATACGTGTTAAACTTATTTTAGACGTTTACTTAGGGTATAAATATATAAACTGCAAAAACTGCTCAGTCTGAGCTTCCTTATCGCGTTTTGTAGAATTTATAGCTGAAGTAGAACATTCACAGGAAAAATGTTCCATTATGTTTAATCAGGTAATGTTAAAATTCATATTTGCCGTTCTATAAATAAGCTATAAGTCGCTCATTCAGGATAAGTAATCCGCAATTCGCGCCGCACTCTAAGTCGCTGTCAGTAATAGGACCTTTCACGGGCTGTTCTTCCGCTTGAAACTTGATATTCAAATTAACTACGAATCGGATCGATTTCCGGCTTAGAAAAACCTTTGAGTCTAAGTTCTCTAGTGAACTTTATAAGGGTAACTTTTATACAACCACTACTGCTTCTTCCGGCGGAAACTACCTTCCCCGTGTTGTGCCGCTCTAGACGCAGGCTCAGCGAATACTGACTTCTTTTTCTCGAAGGAAGGGTTTGATGCCACTAGTCTGCAATAAACTCATGCCCTAAATCACCAATCTAAGCAATTTCAAACCGAATAAACCGAAGGTAGTTTTAGTCTGTTTACTCAGTTAAGTGCGTCTCTCATGCCAGTGCTGTGATCATGTCTTCAATTCAAGAGGCTGTGATTTTTCTATTTCGATTTATTTGGGTTTAAAATGCCAATTATGCGTCCATATTCGCTATGAAGCTTACGAAATTACTTGTGAATGACAACCTCACAGCTTCGCGTCAAAAAAAAATTGTCCCCCAAGCATTTAAATTGCAAACGTTCCATTTACAATCAACAAAATTGACTAACTTTGAAAAACTGTTAGGTAATAAACAAGTTTTCGCCAAAAAGCTCAATTGCAATCAGTCTCAATCTTCATCAGGTTTGCTCATCCGTGGCTCCTTTTTTATTTGCTATGTTACCTGTACCTTCCTTTAACGTTTTGAGCCACTATTTTTATGTTTTCACTCAATTTGGTGCCAGTTTCCGCTGTCTGATTTCTTGACACAGCCTTTAAGTGCCAGTGTGTCGTAAACATGTCTTAACCATTAACCTGTTGTAGAGAACATTTAATTGCATGCACAGAGTTTCGGTCTCTAGCCTTTATTCACATAGCACAATTTTTTGGGTGGTTAACATGTTTATTTTTCGTCCATGACACAATTTTCTGACAAAGTTTAGACTAAAAGGATGGTTTAATTTGGCCATCAAGGGTTTACGAAAAGGGCTTGTCAGCATCATGGTATACTGTATTAGTCAGCTTCTCTTCCTGTTTTACAGTCTACCACTATTAATTCAGTACTGCATTTTTATCTCAGACACATAAATACAGAACTCCTTGCTTCTTCCGTTAGTTGATACAACTTTAACACTGGCTAACTGTACTAGAGCTTCTTTACTTCCGGTCAGAAACAACTTTTTGTTTTTACGCTTCAAAACCCCTATGCTGCAAATGAATGCATCCTAGAGTGGTTTAGTAGAAAGCCTAGTTTTTGGAAGCGTTCCCCCTTTTTCTTTTCATTTGAGCATTTTTCTAAGACAATTATTGCAGTGAGGTGTATACTAGTATGTATAAAAAGAGTGTACTTTTCAAACTTTTCTTTAAAAAAAAAAAAAAACACCTCGAAACAGCATTATCGATTGCAGCATAGATGCTGTTTAAGCAAATCAATTTCACGCCTTTTGACTATTGTGTCAGAACAAAAGGCGCAAAACTGCACTGAGACGGGTCTTAAACGTATACGTGTTAAGCTTATTTTAGACGTTTAATTAGGGTATAATTATATAAACTGCAAGAACTGCTCAGTCTGAGCTTCCTTAACGTGTTTTGTAGAATTTATGGCTGAAGTAGAACATTCACAGGAACAATGTTCCATGTGTTTAATCACGTAATGTTAAAATTCATATTTGCCGTTCTATAAATGAGCTTTTTTTTTACTTTTCAAAACAAGTCACGCTTGGAGGTATGTTTCATGCAAATGGAGCAACGAAACGTAAAATCGTTACAAATGTAAACGTTGCTAGAATTGTCCTACATTGCCATTTTTGATGACAGAAACATCTAGCGTTCACAAGACATGCATAAAATCCGGCTTACAGAAAGTCTGAAATAATTTTCAATGGCTTTTTGACTTTTTATTCACCTGTTTATTTAAATTAAGCACCAGTATATTCACTCATTCATTTTTAAATGCTTTGGAAAACAAAATATTGAAAAATGTCTATATTTTCAATTCAACAAACAAGCAAACAAGTGAACAAAAACAATAACTTATCGGAAAATTTTAAGGGCTACCATGGCTTGAAGATCTAGAGTGCCGATACAGAAACTGTTCTAATATCTTATTACAGTGTAACTTATAAATAGTACTATTTTCGATTCGTTTACGTTCCTTTGCTATATCATGTGATATGGTATGATATCACTCTTACCTTTTGTTACGAATTTTATGGGGAATACTCTGATTTCTAAAAATTATCCGTTTCAGACAAACAGGAACTGCATCTGCTTTTCAGCCAGGTGCATGCATGACGTACTCTCTAAGAGCATACCCTCAAGGCATTCGTGTTGTCAATGTTTACTTAGTTTCGCATGGTTAATATCACTTCTCGGCTTAACTAATTTGTAATTTGATGCTTCCAGTCCCTACTATTCTTCCAAAATTCTTGCATTTTACTTCTTCTGTCTAATGCCACGTTTAGAAATGGGCCTTAAATGTGTTACCAACAAATTACAACGACCTTCTTTCTACGGTGAAGCTTTCATGTTTAGTGCTTCAGGAATTTGTGATTGCCAAACTTCACTACTTTTTGTCAGACTGTTACTCGTAATACTTTTTGGTGTCATGTCTTGCAAAGTAAGTTCTGGGGAAATCCCAAATAGAATAGACGGTTGCAATAATATAAAAATATACTTGTTTGTGAACTTATTACCTACGTCAGCCATATCGAGCTGAATTTTTGTGTATCGAAAACCCAGTAAAAAGAGCCTATTGACGGCTACTACTTAATATTCAATTTCTCATTTACACTTAGAGTAAGTTCTCATAGTGTATACTTTTTTTTCAAGTTTTAATAGTGGTCTTGAGAATTAATTCGCTTTTTTGTGTTTTTTAACCAACTGACTCCTCGGCTAGATGAAAAATTCCCCCCAATGTAATTTGCAATTTCCTGCATTTGTAGCCGACGATTTGACTAATTATATTGTTTAATAAATCAGTCCATGTACTTTTTAACACCGAAACAGATGGTGCATGGTTCTAGGTCACAAAAAACTTATCACAGCCACTTCTACATTTACAAATGAAAATCTTTACTTTTTATCCATGAACAGGATCTCATGGTCTCCTAGCTGCTAAGAATGAAAATGACCCCTTGTACAATGGCGTTAAAAAACTCAGATTTCTTGATAGGCGCTTATATTATAGAACATTCCCCGGTATTAATAGTGCCAGTGAACAACAACAAGCACAAAAAAGACACAGTTAATACCCTATTTACTGAGTTTTCGTCCCATGCAAAAAATCTCGGAAAACAATTTACCCACAACGTTCCTCGTGCTTCTTTATGAATGTCAAACTGCAGGTCAATTTGCAAGTCAGTGTATACATATAACCGTCACTATAGAGTGTTTTCACATGACGTCACGGCGGCCATATTGGTGTCCCAAAACAATGAAACGGCGGCCATTTTGGTGTCCCAAACCAGTCCCCTGGGAGTTGAACTGTTTTCTTATGCAAACGCTTTATTTTATTACAATAAATTTGCATATATGTTGGCCACGTGAGTGAAAACACTCTGTCAAAACATGACGAAGACTTAGAATTGTGAAGAAATCAAATTAGTGCAAGACAACCAAAATCGCTTTGAGCTTTAAGCTTTCGAAAGCTGATTCGAGTACTGGTATTAAAAACTAAATCCTGCATAAAAAAGTCCGAAGAGCAAGTTTCGAAAACAGCTTTGTTTTAAGTTTAAAGGAGCAATTTCACGCTATTTGCCTACCTTTTAAAAAGCTAAACGTTTTTCGTATCAATTGAATTCCAAACTATATGGTCCATTTTTGTTATATATAGCCATTGAAACTGTTTCCTGTCGTCTGTTGATATGGATGGCAAGAGTGGACAGGGATGGAAACTTGGCAAAGCTGGGCCAACTTTTGCAACGTGCTTGATGTGTACTTATAATTAAAGTCTTTTACGAAGTGAAATTTTTAATTTTTACTTAATTTTGCTATTTGACACTCTTGGCAATGAAATGGTTGATATAAAAAAATAATAATAAATAAAAAGACAAAAAAGGATCGAAAGAATATCCTGAAGCTGCAGAGTGTGAAAGTGGATCAATCACATCGTTTTACAATTGCAGTTGAGCATATCTTGTAATGTGTTCAAAAGGTGAAGTCGATTTTAGAAATCTTTGCAGTTCTGTTTCAGCGGAACCTCGATATAACAAAGGACTAAGGGACTGGCAAAACTTGTTCACTATAACGAAGTTTCGTTATATCGAGTTCCTTTTCCATATATATACTTCATTATTTGGGGTTTCGTTATATCGATCGAGCTCCCCGGCTGTTGCGTTCGAGGTGTAGATAATAAAAAATAGAAAATTAAACAAAAATTATAACAGGTGCTCTAAACTTGAGTGAAAAAAAATGAATGGAGTCCAAAACGGAATTAAAACAGTCGAAAGAGGAAAAAAAAATATCTGAAATACAGCGCATATCCAGTGCAAGTAATGAAGCGGAAAAACTGAGCAATATAAACTAGAATGCGCTATTCTTGTCTTACGTATCGATTCTGTGTTCTGCGAGATGTAAAGACCAGAAAAGAAAAGAAAAAATTGAAGAAATTACCAGAAATACCTTAACGCTAACTTACTCGTATCCTGTGACTACAGCGATGCATACAGAACTTTCTTTTTTTAATTACTTAATATATGATTACGACATCACTAATTGAGGAATTGAAGCCTGTTTGATAGTCATTTTTTTGCCGTGAGTACATTAGGTCATGCATTCTTTCATGCATGTCGAGTTATTAGACATAAATTACACAATTGAATTAAGCAGTAACGAAACATCTGAAATAAAACTTAAAATGGGGAAATACCTCAAATTGTCATATGACTCAAGACAGAACTATAAATAAGGAATCTTTTAGGAAGAAAAGTACTTCGTAAACTGAATCGAAGGGTACCGTGAGCTCTAAACTTCACAATCAGCCATGGTGAACCTTTTACAACAGGTATATATTTTCAATTTGTATTGCCTTAACTCTTAATAGATCGGAAGGGAGTTAATTCCATAAAACTTTGTTCAGAAATATATTATGATTTTTCAGATTTGAAGGAAACACCAAGTTATGTTTCATTTTAAGTTTCCAAAAATTATCGCATTCCTAAAAATTTACCAGCCTGTGAGACACGTCATGTTGCATGGAGTTGATCTTGTGCAAAGCTATCAACAAACTGTTTCCTTTCTTTTCTTTTTCTTGTAATCTTTGGTTCATACAAATCTAGATATAACTGTATCTTCACCACAATTTAAAATATATCTGTAACATTAAGGCATATTTTAAAACTGTATGACTAATGCCAATTTTTTGCAAAAAATTGGTTCTTGGTCTGGATTATAGAGAGAAATTAACCTCATTATTTTTTTTTGTCTACTCGTTCAAGGTGTTGCTTGTTCCCGTTGCCCTCCTTTTGTTGGCATTGCTGTTGAACAGTCATAGGAAAGTCCAAGCAAGACCGACCGATTCCTCGACATTTTTTATAAGGAATTTAAATGAAAATTCACATTCGAGGAACATTGCACAAAATTCGACGAAAAAGACTGCAGTCCTCAAACCCAGGCAAAAAGATGGTGCAGGTTCTGCTAACGGCATCGACATGCAACCCACACGACATAGCATCATAGAACGAGCTACAGATAACCAGGAGGAATCGTTAACTGCTGACGGTGCTGGATTGACTAGAACAAGTTTCCCAAGTAGCGTCAACAAGAATCCTTGTATAAAAAGATTTCGTTACCGCATCATTTTCAATTATTTCTTCGCAATTCCTGTGTGTAAAGGGCACCAAGGCTGCTTCGAGGTTATAAAAATTGTAAACTTTGGAAAAGGAAGAACTTATGCAATACCGACGAACTGCCAAAGAGTTAATAAACAATAACGTTCTCAATGACGTTGTTAACTGCGACAAGAAAACGGAAGTAAAATTACGACTTCCGCAGTTGCTGTTAAAAGTATTAACTCGTTTTTAAAATTTAGGTCTTAATTCTATACTTGCTGGGATTGAAAAAAACTGAAGGATACATCTTTAAAAGATTCAAAAATATTGATAACAGTGCATATATTCTCAGATTGTAAGAATTAAGCAGCCATTCTTCATAGGGATCGAATGACCCCGGTTCTAAATTACAACAGAGCTAGAGGCCGATTTAATAATTTTATTCTTCAAACGCGACTAAGCTATAAGAGGGTAAAAAAAGTTAAACTTTTTGGTGAACTCATTGAATTTTCAAAAAATCTTAAGTTATATTTAATTTCATAAAGATATGTATTTATTTATCACTGGATTATTTACGGGTTATATGACATTAGTTTATAGTGGATATTTAAAAATTTGTTGACAAACATTTATTATTTATTTGATGTTCAAATGCGATGATAAAAAAGGTCAAGTAACAAACGCATAAGTAAACCATTTATGAGAAGTAATGATGATCAATTGGCAAATAAAATGCTTACATGAATTTATGTATTGCCTTTCAGAATTCATAAACTTGTCTTAAGTTTACGCCTATAAATTAAGTTTACTTTTTTACTGATTCTGCCCGAGATTACACCTTTTTATGTTCTTTATTTGCAAACGAACAAATCGTTTTCGGCTCGCCTTATTTTATGACAAGAACCTCCTAGGTGCCTTAGCTTTAACCATACCATATGACTATATCATGGATGCCCTTGTATCTTCAATGTACCCTGCAAGTAACCAGACTTTTGCATCAAAACCCAAATTCTGAAGAGATATTTCTGTTATAACCAAATCGTAGGGCAATTTCTGACATTATATTTTGACAAGAACTCTGAATTTTACTCGGCAACCGAAGTTTAACGCGTACACTCACTTTGTTTTATTACTTTGACGGCATAGTTGTGATGATCACTTCCGGCAAGACCCAAAAACGTCGAGAACCCGATCAACTTCCGTTTCCGCTTCGATTAAGTTACCGGTTTACGTAAGAGAGGCGATTGTTTTGTCTAACACCATCACCTGATTCTAAACCTAATTTTACCCCCACCCTCTTTAAAAGGAAAAAACTCACGGCCAAAATCCTATTTTAGAATCTATTTTTAGTTTTGGTTCAGTAAGAGGGATTGAGTTCCTGTCTCTATTAACGACTCTTTGGAAGCAATCTATATTACCGTATTATCAGCATATTATTTCGTGAGGAACCAACCATGTAATGTGCCGGGCTCAAGCTTTCCCAGAAAGTCTGACTTCTTTTTGTCCACTTTTAGTATGTACTGCTTAAATTCTCACCACGCGTTCTGATTTCCAAATTGCATTGCTCAGATAAATTTACGTTAAATTTGTTTTCTCTTCTACAAAAAGTAAAATTAGCTGAAAATTGCTTGTGGAAATAACCCACAGATTACGCAGATTACGAAGGATTACAGGAACGAAAGCACATGGTCCATGGCACATACACCAATGATTAGGACTACAGAGGCGAATAGCACATAATCTATGCCACCAAATAATAAAACAACAAATGTTTGGGAAGGAGTAGTTCAGCGGTCAAATTATGTCCAGTCTCTTAGGCGGTCGTGTTAGTGTTTACCTTTACGACCTTCATTCAACATGAAACTAACTTAAGTCGAAACCGGAACATTTAGATCTAGGGCTGACTTATTCATTAGTCACTTCAAATTTTCTTCCGATATTTATTCTTCATTTTGCTTTCATCAAAGTTACCTGGTTGAGTTAGTTTCACTTTTATTACGTCTCACATAACGAGGCGTTGAAACCAATCGACTTCAGAATTCATTTGATAAATGCGTCAATCGCCATGGTCTTATCGTCGAGAAATATGGTGCAGCCTGCAGGAGATGAGATTAGCAATCCAGGCTTAAATTTCACCATCGTATCCTTATGTAGCTTATTAATTGGATTTTTATTTCAGTTGTATCTTGGGTCGTGTGCGCGCGCTATTTAATTTGGGGCGCGTGCATCATTTATTTATTTAAGTTGCGTGTACATTTAGTTCGTTTAATAATATCTTAGTTTTTCTTTGCGTTATTTTCCTCACTTATATGTGTTGTCCGCGACTGTGCTCACACGGTGGGTGGCTCCTCCTAAAATGTTATGCAATTGGTATAGGATTTAATGGAGCCGAAACCAATTGTGGAATTGCACGCATTTCAGGCATCCTACTGATGAACAGTTGGGACGCGTAGATGTATTTTTTAGCAACTACTATAATTTGCAGTCTGTCTACTTTGAATTGGACAAAGTGGAGGAATGAAAGTTCTCGATCATACCCTCTGCCGTTTCAAATCAAACGGGAGAGTGTTTACTAGGGCGGTTTCCGTTTTTCTCCACTCTCGATGCGCCCCTTTCTCAACTGCTTTTACCAAACTGGACTTAAAGTTATAAAAAGATAAATGATAAGGATTACCGTATACAACGGCTCAGTCATTCTTCCAACATGTCTTTTTGTTGACTTTTTCCATTTGGATGAGAGATCAGACCCTGTCAATGGGAGAAGGGGTGGGGTGGGGTGAGGCTCCGTCCAGCCTTTGCGCTTGAAACGTTTTTCGCCAGATTATCTCATTAGGCGTTTTTCTCAAATCAGTCAACAATGTTTTAAATAAGTACAATTTTGGAGAAAATGGCCTTGTCGCTTACTGATGATTTTGATGTAGTCAAAAATGTTTTGGACGAGTGCGGACAAATTTCAGTCACACGGTTCATGAAGGTTTCATTCGGTTCCATTTTCTTTGCCCAAGTTAATGACTCCGTCCAGCGTAAGGGCTTGAAACGTTTTTGCATCTCACAGCTGATGATCTCAGTATTGATTAGACTTTGAATTCTTTAAATATTTAATAGTTTGAAGGAAATGGCCACGTCATCTATGGGTGACGATTTCGCAAAAAAAATGTTTAGGACGATGCATCGCACGGTTTCATTCGGTTCAATTCCCTTTGCAAAACTCAGTGCAATTAACAAAATAGTTTGTTGTTTGTTGAGTAAAGCCCTTTAATTGAGCCAAGTCTATTTTAAAACCACTTGAGAGGGATTGAACCTTTGAATTGTAAGTACATTATATTTGTAATCAGTGTCATGCATCGATTCATCTCGGTTGGTTTAGCACGTCCTCACGGAAATAAATTTTTATACTGTTAGATAGGGTGAAGAAAATCGAAGAGTGGAAAAATCGAAAGTCAGGTACATTAAGGACTGGGTCGTCTAAAGTAAGTAAACAAAACATGAAAAAATGAAGGGGGTGGTCTAATTATCCTTAAATATGCAACGTATTGACACTAAAGTTACGTGAGAGCTTAAACGCCTTGTAAAGATTAAGTCTTATTGAAAGTTGTCAAGATAAGGATCACGTGACTCATTAAGGTCTCCAATTACCATTTTTAACTTCAGGCCATCTGCAGGAGAACTTTTGCACACTCGTCTTAACAAATAACGCACGGATCTGGATTCACACGTGACAGCCAGAAAACATTCATCACGGATAGGCATACCTCCACTCCAGTCACATTTGGAAAGTACTTTAGATAGGTAAAACATCGTCAATAAAAATGCTCAGTAACAGTTCTTTTTACCCCGCCTGCAGAATCCTTAAAAAAAAAATACAGAAGTAAAGCGTTACTTGGTCACGCTACACGTTACCATGGTGATGTAAATCTCATAAATACTATCTTACAGGTATAATGCAACGACCACGTCTCACCCTTGCCACATTATTTGTTTTGAAGATAGACCACCCCCTTATATTTTAGAGCGAAAAAATGGCAGATCCAGGCCTTAATATATCTGAGAACTTCTTGCACGTTTCAAGTAAAGTGAGTAAGTAAAAGTGAAAGATAATCCTAACAATTTTTAGAAACATCATTAACAATGCATTTTTGTGGAGTTGAAAATAAGCCTTCGGTAAGACTGATGCCAAGTTTTTTGTTTGTTTGTTTTGTTTTTCTTTTTTCAGGGAAATAACCCCTTATATCCCTCGTTGTTTTGTTTTCATTCGTTCTAAGTCTTCTTGGCCTTGATTCTGTCGCAGGTATTTTACTGGCCTTGTTGTTTATCAGTCTTACAGAACTCCAGGCAAGACCTACCGATTCCCCAACACTTCCTTCCAGTAATTTTAACGGCACTTCCAGTTTGAGGAACACAACACGATCTTCTGCACGGGAAACGACGGGCCTAAAGCCCCGGGAAAAAGTTGACAAAGTTACGTCTAGCACTAACGAGATGCAACCTTCAAGCGTTAACATCAAGCAAGCTACAGAGACCCAGGATGATCTGTCAGCAACTGACGGTTCTGGGTTAACCAGAACAATTTTACCCACTAGCATCAACAAGAATCCCTGTATAAAAAAAATTCGTTACAGCTTTATTTACAATCAGTTGTTCAAAATTCCTATCTGTAAAAAAAACCATGGCTGCCATGAAGTGGTCAAAATTGTGAACTTTGGAAAAGGAAGAACTCTGGCAGTAACCTACAACTGCCAAAAACAACGTTCTTAATTGAGACCACATAAAATGAGAACGGAAGTATTTATGACTTCTATATCAACTCATTGACGACATGCAATACAGTAAGTTGCCTTATTTTACTTGATAAGTAAATTTCAATCGCGTCCTCTTTACCAGGAAATGCGTTCAGTTGGATTTTACATTAGTCAAGAACTGCAACAATGAACTTTCCAGACCAACAATATGTGGTGGACGAAAAAAACAGGCCTGAAATTTATACCATTTAAATCAACAGCTGAATTTAAAGTTTAACCAGTTAAAACTTTTTCAGCCTTCCCTTCAGCTACACCCTCTTTTCACCCATGAAAGTAGACACCAGTAACAGAGATTTCGAATCACTTTTACGGCAAACGGCAAACGTGAGATTCAAGTCGAGAAATTCGCAAAATTAAATAGGAAATGAGCAGCTAAACACAGCTCAAAAAAATTATTATGGATAGAAATGGCGTGAATCTACCGATTTTTGTGTAGTGAAAATGACATATATAAACGACAAGCAAAAGGGAAAACTTGGTCACGTGGTACAAACTCACGTTTGCCGTAAACACGACTCTAAACATCACTCTAATATCACAATATCAGAACTGAACAGCGACTCCGAAACACTAATCAATGATTAGTCAGCCATTTGAAGATTCTCTGTTTCCTATTGTTATCGCCAAAACAAAATAATAAATACATGGAGACGGTGTTTCTCTACATTAGGCTTAAACATGGTTAAAACTGATCTATTTCTCTGACTGTTTCTGAGTATTCCTCAAGTCCGATCCACTGTTACCATCCATATCACATGCTCACATTTTACTTGAGAGACGCAGATTGTTTTTTCTTTGCTTCTCTTTAATAAGCAAACCCTTAACACTCTGCCATGAAACATCAACGAGGTCACGCACCTTGTTGGATACTAGATGTGGCGTTTAAATTCAAACCGCAGCGGAAACAGGAATTAACGCAATATAATGAGGTTATCGATAGGGTTCACTGGGCTTTTTGTATCACGATAGTTCATTTGTTATTACTAAGTCGTCTCTTGTAATTTTACTTGCCAAAGGTTTCGCTGAAAAAAAAACAAAACAAACAAACAAACAAACAAACAAAAAGAACGGGATGAAAATGGAAAGTAAAAAAGTTAAGCTCACGATCCACTGAATAATCAACGGGTCAGCGGTCATTAAAAATACTTGAACGCCATGGTTAATGCACCTGAGCTGACGTATACACAGGAACCAAACGAATAGGCTGCGGGCGGGAGATACTGCTACCTTGTCATACAGGTCCGCTGGAAACCCCAATTTTGATAGAAGGGCAGAGTTGCACTTTGATTTCAAAAAGAACGCCTTAAATGCCCTAGAAAGTTTGTCGCATCGCTACCATAATGTTTCTCGGGAAACCACTTCCTTAGTTCAAACAGAAGAAGGTCATGTGATAACCAGAATTTCTGAGATGAAAAGATCCCAATGAATGATGCTCCGCTAGCCCTGGTGATACGTAACAATTCATGCGAAGCCAACTGCAACGTGTACAAACGCACTAAACAAAACAAAATTGATAAACAATACTGCGATCAACACAAAAACAATACGACGATCGATATTGGAAAGACAAAAGACCGATATGGAAATAACGATGTTATCGCTTTGATAGAGATGTATTGACCGGTTATTGGAGGTGTTTAAAGGCGGGTCTAGCATTAAGAAAAAGAAAAAAAAAATGGTACAGTCGACTCTCTCTTAACGGACACCTCTGTAAAACGGACACCTAGAGTTGGTCCCTGCCTTTCTTTACTCCCTTTGTTTGACTCTCTATAAGACGGACACCTCTCTAAGACGGACACTTAGTGCCGGTCCCAAAGGTGTCCGTCTAAGAGAGAGTTGACTGTAAATGCTTGGATCAGATGATATACATGATTTTACTGAACGACTGCACCGCAAAACACGATGGATAAAATAAGTAGAATAAACTGCTGTCGTTCAGTGGAATAACATGTCTGATTGATTAGCTGCATGACCTTTTCGAACTTTTTTGAAGAGGACTATGAACTCTGTGGAAAAGTCTTCAACCGAGGGGAAAAAAGTTACTTTTTCTTTGAAAGACTAAAATTCCCGCGCAGTGTAGTTACTTAATGTTAATTTGAAAATTGTAAAATCGACGCTGTTCAAAAGAGTCTTAACCGACGTTTCGGCAATACTGCCTTCTACAGGGTACAAGACTAATAAAAAACGTCGGTTAAGACTCTTTTGACTGGAACAGCGTCGATTTTACAATTTTCAAATTAACATTACTTTTTCTTTTGTGTCGTTTTTAGTAACTCCATTAAGACAATTTTCCTTGGGGTTGGCTGAAATACATTAAGTTAGTCACATACAAAAAATAATGTAGGTGAACGTGCGTGGTGGTTCAGGGTTCCAACATAGCATTCATTATTTCGTTCTTTCACCTGTTCGTTTTATGAGATGACATGTGTTTGAACCGACAACGCAAATGAGCGACTTAACAGTTTGTCTTACAATCAGAACTAAAGTATAATTATATAATTTAATTAGTAATTTAGTATATTATTTGAAAAGGTCATGCATCCCTTCACGTAAGGTGATTCATCAAGGCATACGGAAGTAAATCTTAAAATATATACCGGTATATTTATTACAAAAAATTATCAGAGTAAATCAAAGTATCTAAGACAAAACTGTTAATAGGGGACCTTACAATTAAGAATATACCTCACATACCTGCATTGGTGAAGCGCAGAGCCGGAGACCGTAAACGGATTGAAAGTGACAGAAATTCACAGCAATGTTCGCCCTCTTACAACAGGTAAAAGGTCTTCAATTTGAATTATTTTACTTTGAATTAACTTCAATGAGCTTTTAGGAAGCTGTTTCGTCACTTTAATAGTAAAGAGGAATCATATTTAATCTCAATTTCGTTCAGGTACCTTTTTGAAAAATATATTTATTGGCAAATTCCTATGCGCAAAAAAATCAAAATTAAAATTAAGTGAGAAAAAAAAAATGAACGTACTCTTGCTAAAAGTTACGTGGGACTTGGTCATGCGCAATTTGTGTAGTGGAATTAGGATAAAATTGAATGAAGTTTTCTANAAAATAAGTAGAATAAACTGCTGTCGTTCAGTGGAATAACATGTCTGATTGATTAGCTGCATGACCTTTTCGAACTTTTTTGAAGAGGACTATGAACTCTGTGGAAAAGTCTTCAACCGAGGGGAAAAAAGTTACTTTTTCTTTGAAAGACTAAAATTCCCGCGCAGTGTAGTTACTTAATGTTAATTTGAAAATTGTAAAATCGACGCTGTTCAAAAGAGTCTTAACCGACGTTTCGGCAATACTGCCTTCTACAGGGTACAAGACTAATAAAAAACGTCGGTTAAGACTCTTTTGACTGGAACAGCGTCGATTTTACAATTTTCAAATTAACATTACTTTTTCTTTTGTGTCGTTTTTAGTAACTCCATTAAGACAATTTTCCTTGGGGTTGGCTGAAATACATTAAGTTAGTCACATACAAAAAATAATGTAGGTGAACGTGCGTGGTGGTTCAGGGTTCCAACATAGCATTCATTATTTCGTTCTTTCACCTGTTCGTTTTATGAGATGACATGTGTTTGAACCGACAACGCAAATGAGCGACTTAACAGTTTGTCTTACAATCAGAACTAAAGTATAATTATATAATTTAATTAGTAATTTAGTATATTATTTGAAAAGGTCATGCATCCCTTCACGTAAGGTGATTCATCAAGGCATACGGAAGTAAATCTTAAAATATATACCGGTATATTTATTACAAAAAATTATCAGAGTAAATCAAAGTATCTAAGACAAAACTGTTAATAGGGGACCTTACAATTAAGAATATACCTCACATACCTGCATTGGTGAAGCGCAGAGCCGGAGACCGTAAACGGATTGAAAGTGACAGAAATTCACAGCAATGTTCGCCCTCTTACAACAGGTAAAAGGTCTTCAATTTGAATTATTTTACTTTGAATTAACTTCAATGAGCTTTTAGGAAGCTGTTTCGTCACTTTAATAGTAAAGAGGAATCATATTTAATCTCAATTTCGTTCAGGTACCTTTTTGAAAAATATATTTATTGGCAAATTCCTATGCGCAAAAAAATCAAAATTAAAATTAAGTGAGAAAAAAAAAATGAACGTACTCTTGCTAAAAGTTACGTGGGACTTGGTCATGCGCAATTTGTGTAGTGGAATTAGGATAAAATTGAATGAAGTTTTCTAGAAGTTTCATATGTAGGTAGATATTTATAGACTGCGTTTTACTGAGTACAGTTGCCTCCCTACCGTCATGAAAATGATTCCATATGCCACTCCAAAGTTGATATCTATGGATGGATTAGATTTAAGTTCATTGCTTAATTGGTTTCTGTTTTTTATTTTAAGGTCTCCTTTGATTTACTCGTCATTGCTTTATTGGACTTCATCATGATATTAAGCACTCATTCAGAAGTCAAGGCAAGACCTACAGGCTGTGTAACACACCCATTCAATAATTTAAAAGGCACTTCCAGTTCAAGAAATACTACCCAAAGTTTACCAAATGCAAGAGAGGCTAGCCTAAAACCATCAAGCGTGGTCAGCGCTATCGAGCTGCAAGCCACAAGATCTAAGACTGGGCGAATAACAGAGAACCAGAGAGAAATGCTAACTGCTGACGCCTCTGGAATTGCCACCACACCTTTTCCAAGGACCGTGAACGAGAATATTTGTATAAAGAGATATCGTTACAGAATTATATGCAAT